ATATATATATATATATATATATATATATATATATATATATATATATATATATATATACACCACAGTTTTTCCTCGTTTCATCTCTGTCCTGCTCATTACAAAATGCATTTACAAAAAGGAAAAAAAAAAAAGAAAAATAGGAATCATAGGAGGGCCATTTCGTTAGTGACTTCACATTTCCGCTTTCCTTCTTTCTATTCTTTTCTTATTTTCAAAATATATTTATCGCGATAAATTATACCGGAGTTAAAGTCACGAGAATTGTGTGCCGAACTTATTTTCATTGAAAGTTTTTTGCATGCGGAATATTCTGCTTTTTTCATGCTGATTTATACTACAGTGTTGCCGAGCATAATCCTATTTTGCGGGGATGTATCGTAAAATTTGTGAAAATTCGTGAAAGAAATATTAGAACATGAATATATTAAATTATGTCCCTCTCTCTTATTCTTTTTGCATTTGTGTTTTTCGCTATTTTGTTTACTTGCATTTCTTGACTAATGCGTAAGCAATATTAAAGCTATTAAGCGCTACCTAGTATTCAATTTAGATATAAAATTTTTACATGTTAATCTGTATAAAGAGGTCATCGATCTCAGAGTTATAATAAATTCTTTCATTCTCTCTCTCTCTTTCTCTCTTTTTTTCTCTCTCACACACACACACACACACACATATATATATTTGCTCTCTCTCTTCTTTCGATTGTCGTAAAAAATTTTGCTGATTCAGCAAGGTGTCTTAATTCGTAATAAAATCTGGGGAACTCCTAAATGACTCGATCTCTGTTCCAAAAATGCTTCGACGCCTAAGAGCTCGAATCACGGAATAAAATTATGATTCTTGTTGTTGCAGATTATTTGTCCGTTATGCGTGTACAGAAATGTGTCTAGACTTTTATTCGCCGTTCTTCCTGACCTGCATATTGCGTGAAATTTTTCCTCACTCTTTAAACAACGAACACTTGGGGATAATTCACTTCTCGGAATGATTCAGAGAATGAAACGCTGACTGACGCTAGTCGGTCTTAGAGAGAATCTTTTGAGTTTGTTAGCTCCGTGGACTGTATCAACGGCTGTCTGCTCTTCATAAAGACATTTGCCGCTTCCTTATCTTCGAAACGACGATCTTGTATCACACGCACGATGTCTTTATCGTGCTCTCTGCCGAGGCATAATTCGGTTCTTCTCAAACAATTACGCCAACTGGGAGTTACCGAGTGACAACACCGTCCGCGACGCTTTGATATTTTTCTCGCGCCGGCGAGGATCTATATTCGGTCTGTAAACCCAATTCCCTGATCGTTAATTTATTCGAACGACTCCGCGCTCGTTACCTGTCCACGTGCTTCGACTCAATGAGGCGAGCAGTCATATGTCCTTCCTTCTTTATCATTGAACATCTTTCCTATCGGCGTCATTAGGCTAATACAACTGCGTGACTCACCTCATGTTGATTTAAATATGTACTACTCGATCTCGCGAGATGTGAGATTCACATACGCGATATCTAATCGAATCAAGAGCGATTATCGTTCTTGACGCGGTATCTCTTTGATCGCTCGGAAACAGCGAATTGAATTCCTCTGTTTTTCGCGAAATTTGAAATCTGTCTTTTTCGGCTTTAATATAATATGAATAATGATAATTGATCAGCGATAACCATGACTGAGCTGATAATGATAGGCTACGATAAAAAAAGAAAAAAATTGTAGCATATCATCACTCATACAGTAATTGTGAGATTTCTGAATATGCATTTTATTCTTTTTATTCTCTCTTTTTCTCTTTGTGAAATATTCCAGGATAATTGTTTTACGGAGAAAATATTAGTTTCTCTTCTTTTTTCATATGTAATTTTTTTCAATTTTACCATATTTCTAGTAGTTCAAAAGTAGATTGTTAATAAGGTCTATGTAAGGATCTAAAGATTATTTTAGGTCTATACTAAGGACCATAAGGTATTTTTTGATAGCACATTTTAGTTCTCAAAATATAAATAGCACATGTAAAGTAAAAAGATAATAAATTACTGTAGAACATCGATCTGTTCGTCGGTTATGAAATTCTATAATAATTTGTACTATTTAAAATTCTCTCCGTGTTGCGAAAATAATTTTAACTTCGGATAATAATTTATGTTTTATTAAATGATAACTTGATGATAACTTGAAAGTTATCAAATAATTTACTAATATCGAGATTTTCCTAGAAAAATATTAGTACATTTAATTCTCTTGATTTCTTTTAATTCTTTTAATCTCTATTTCTTGCCAGGACTTTCAATGCAAACAATTAAACAAGTGAACACAATGGCAGTTATTAACACTTCGAAGTGCCGCACGCTCGTTCCACAACGAGCTTGTGCGCGCAAATCGCGAAGATATCGCGATATCGACCTGATCGCGCCTTTTACACCCGCGCATTCTCGAAATTGCACACTTCCTGCCACGTCGCGACATAAAAATTTACTTACGAACCAAGGTAGCTCTTTCGAGTGTCAGTGCGATAACGCTTACGTCTGTGTGCTTCATTCTAATACTCACCTCTCGAGTTTTATGATCTCGATCCACCTTGTTCACAATTCGTCACTCCGCGATCTCGCGCCGACGTATCGTCCCGGAAACCTGTGACTTTCCCGCGGAACACGTTCGCAAACACCTTCACGTCACCAGCGCTCTCGCGCCGAGTCGCTCTGTAAGCCGCGATTTCCCTCAAATCGTTCACTGTTCATCCATCGGAACGTCGAAATTTCACGGCGAGATCTCGAGATTGCGCTCCGCCCTGGATCAGATCGCCGATAGACGAGTTCACCACTGGATTGAAATTTCACTAATAATTATCGCGGTTTTGTCGCCATCTTATCTTCGCCCTCTTTTTATTCCTTTCTTTGCAAATTCACATCGTGCGTCGAGACACCTCGTTATAATCGGTCCGCCGCGCGCCTGTCCCTCGACTAGAGGGAAGAATTTTCTTGCGCGATAGTCGACGTCACGGTTGTGTCAATAAGAGCTTCAGCGCGTGTTGCCGTGTCTCAACGCTGGATTCCACGTGTGTCGGGCTTATCGTCGGCCATACTGATCCATAATTCGGCGCCGAAAAATACTGATAACCGGCTACCCAGACGGTGCTATCGACAGGTCGGTCCCCGTGCCACTAACAGAAAAGCAAGCTCGCGTTTTCCACGGTAGTAGACGCGGTCGACGACGTGGGGGTATTGTTAATTATTATCGTTTGGCACTCGCTTATCCGCGCGATATACCGGGCGGCGTTCAGGTAACAGCTGTACGCTGTGTGCGCCTCTTCAGGTCGGACGTATCGAATTGATGTACTTTAACATAATTCAATTTGACTTCGTTTAATGTTTTATCTTCATCTTCATCAATATCATATCGCAGTCTATTGCGCTTACATCTGTAGTGCTTAGTTTTAGTCATTTCTTTGTACTTGATTCGCCTTCACTCAACCTGGCGCTTTTGTACATAACTTATGCTTAATTTTTGCGATCTCACGCTAAATTCTCTACTTATTATTGTAAAAAGGCTATAAAAGAGACACGTAGAAAATTACCGACAAAAGAGTTAAGCTCTGTTATATCTGTCATATCTGTCAGGGATATGCCAATTTTTACGTTATTACATCAATCGCATGCGAGAACGATGAAAGAGTCTCAACAGTTTGGTTATAAGTACAATTCACTGCAGAGGATAGATCCTACTTTTCTCTTCACGTCGCCCGAAATATTTCATCGAAATTTTCACTTGCGTTGATATGAGCGCAATAATAGAATAATTCAAAATAATCTCATTGATAAAATCAACTTTTACGTCACGAAATATAACTGGGAACTCTTACGAAAGATATTTCGAAGCTCTCAAATTTGCAGAAATATTTATAATTGATAAAATTTACTTTAATTATCGTCTAAAATTGGCCATTTCGATACGCATCAGAAAATTTCGATGTTGTTCATATTTCAGGGAACAATATTCACTTATTTTAGTATATTTAAGATATACTATACTTTGTGTTATATTCACTGAAGATTGCTGTCTCCAGTAATTTCTCTGGTAAAAAAGTAATTATTATTATGTAATTACTTTTGATAAATTATTTTATAAAGATAGCGAATATTAATTACACGTACATATATTTAATTAATATAAAAAAAATAAAACCGTCGATTCTAAGATGTTAATGTTCGATAAAAAAATTATTATAAAGAAACGTTAAATTCATAAAACAGTCTTTGAATTTTCACTTTAAAGACGATCCATAATTCGCGATACAGAATTTGCAACGCGAAATTTCGTTAAAAAAATTCTCAAAAATTGTATTTATACAGTGTTTACAAATATTTAAGCGTTTTCTGCATCATAAGCTACGTCAAATTACTAGTAAAATTTTGTCGTGAATTATATCGCTTAAAGTTGTCTAAAGTTGATTTAAATGGTTACTAATCGATAGCGATTATTCGATTAGAATAAAACATCCAATTATTGATTCCATTTAATCATTGACATTTTAGAAAAATCTGAATTTTCTTGCGACAGTTGTTCAGTTATGAAATTCTTTTTTGAAAGTATAAAGTTTAAACAAGAAGTTTACCTGCAATGCTGGTTGCAAGAAAAATCGGGTTTTCTCTTTGAAGCGTCAATAACTACAGAGATATCAATAATTTAGTATTTTACCCGAAGCGCTTTTTTCACAATCATCGTTGTTCGTTATTTCGTTGAATCGCCTCTAACATCGTGGCGAAGATTCCGTCTTGCCGATGCATTAACTCTGCCGGTGAACCCTCCTCGACAATCGTACCTTCGTCGAAAACGACGATACGGTCGCAATCCAACAAAGCCATCGCTCGATGCTGCAAAAAAAATATTAGTTTCGTTTGAAATTGCGGTCGTATCGATTGCTGGAGAGATTAAAATTCGATATTAATATTAATTAAGAAACATCAAATTAATAGACATCTTATGATAACGTCATGACTCAAGTAGCCATTTTAAAATAACGTTATTCAAATTAATTCGATAATTAATTATATATATATAGTATATGTGTTAATATCTGCTTTGTAATTAGTGTTTGAGGTTAAAACTTTATTCTCATGAGAAATATTTTACTAACCGCGATAGTGATCACAGTTTTGTTGGCGAAAGCGACTGCAGCCGCTTGTAGAAGTGACTTCTCCGTGGCTACGTCGAGTGCACTGGTCGCTTCGTCTAAAACGACGATACTTGATTGCTGAAGTACAGCACGCGCCATGCATAGAAGTTGAAGCTGGCCGGCTGAGAAGTTCTCACCGCCCTCTCGAACCTCAAAATCTGCGCCAAAATTAAGCAATTAGCATCATAAAATTTTCTTCCAGAAAATTTAAACTAACTAATAATTTATTGATTCCATTTATAAATTATCATGATATTCGTGAACTCAAAAAGAAATCTTACGCACTCAGTCCATCAGGATGCGAGGCTACAACTTCCTTGATCTGAGAAAGCTCCAAGGCTCGCCAGATCTCGTGGTCCTCGTGTTCCGAAAGCGGGTCCAAGTTTTCTCTGTAGATATCCATTAAGGTTAAATTCAATAAAGTCTCTAAACAATTAAAAATGTTTGGTTTATTACAGCAAAGTGATAAGATTAGATTATAACATATTTTTGCTATTAACTTCTGGTAATAAAGTTATACGATAGCGTTTCGAAGTACCTAATCGTGCCGCTAAACATTATTCCGTCCTGTGGTATGGCCAACAGTCGCGATCGCAATGTACGAAGTGGTACTTGCCGGATGTTGATACCATCTATCAAAATGCAGCCTCGACTGATCTCGATTAGTTGGAAGAGAGCCATCACGGTCGACGATTTTCCGCTTCCGGTTCTCCCGCAAATACCTAACTGTAAACAGCATTCGGCGAGATTAACATTTTATTGCGTATCCGAGTGAAAAGAAAATCTGAAGGTTATTGGTTGGTAAAATGATTATCGTTTTATCATATTGAATTTTCCAACATGATTTTTAATAGCGCAAGCCACGTATCTTTACATTTTAACTTCATTATTACATTGTAATCAATCACCTTTTGTCCAGCTGGTATTCTTAAAGTTAAATTTGAGATCACAGGGTCTCTGTCTGTGTCGTAACTTAAGGAAACGCTATCGAAAATGATCTCTCCCTTGCTGGGCCAGTTATCGGGCACTTGCAAACCTGAAATTCGTCACACGAAAATGGCTATTAGTGAGAAAATTACGGCACAATTGTATACTGAGAGAAAACAAATATCTAAGAAATAAAAAAATACTTATTCGACGGATATTAACAACATACTTACTCATATAAAATATTTTTTAAATAAGAAAATATACATTTTCTTAAAACCTACTTAAGAAACCTTTTCTTAAAGAATTTAGATTTAAATAAATATATCATTAGTACCCAATAAATATCTTTTTTATTTTTTAGATATTTTTCTTTCAGCGTAGAGATCGAAAAAATTTCTACTATTCATTTGCATCAGACTGCATTTGTCGTCAACAAAATATCATGTTAATAATAGACTTCATAATTTCAGAATTTACAAGTCTGTCGCGATCTTTTTTCACTCAGAATATCTGTCTCGACACGCGAAGTAAGAATTTATTAACTTGTAAATTTTTCACATTTATGCCGATTAATGATGAGATTTCAGGCAGCGAATAGTTACCGTTTTCGTAATAATTCTCCGGTTGCGTGTCCGTGTACGCGGATATTCGAGCCACGCTGCTCATATACATCTCGACGTCCGCGGTAAATTTGACCACCCAGTTCAAGTATATCGGTACTACGAGGGTGTAGTTGATCGCCAGACCCACTAGAGCGGGTGTCACGCGGCTTGGATATAATTCGGCAGAATGTAAGACTGCGAAAATGCCTGTTACCACGATAGCACCGCCCAGATAATCCTGGAGACAGTAATGACAATGGATAGTTAATCCGCCATTAACATCGACAAATCGACACGAGTTATAGACTAGAACTGTGTCGAATTTCGAAGAACAGTTAAACATTTTCTAAAGAGAAGCACGATATCTATTTTTAAGAAATTTAGATTGTTTTTTGACGTTTCTTCGCTCGTCACACTTACCAACGCGATGCTCAGCCATCTGTCGCTGGCGTTCAGGATAAGAAACGCGTTAGTGTTCGCGTCAAGACGTTTCATTGCTTCCTTCATAAAGCGGTCTTCTTGCTTGAATGCTCTTAATGTCTGAAGACCCGCTAGAGTTTCTGAAAAGTGCGCTGCCACCGGACCTCTTGTACTGCGAGTAATATTTGCATAATTAATTGATGATATGTTCGAGTGTTTCAATAAGAATTCAAACGATTTCTGATCGCTCTCAGGTATTCAAACAAGTAGAGAAAGACAAATAATTATGAGTAGAGAAAAACGCGCGGATCTCACTGCGAGGGAAAACCTTTACTTTTCGTCCGCGTGAGAAGGATCTCCTCAAATATATTAATGCTTTTTTGAAACTTATATAGAGGAGAGTTTTAGCATTTAGAAAAAGTGATACCTGCCATTTAGAAAAAGTTAATACCTGCCGTCCAGGCGTTGCAATTGTCTGGCGCTTCGCCTGTAGAACTTTTGCAACATATAGTAAGCGCAACTGGTTAGAAAGGCAGCGAAAAGGAACCATAGCGAAATGGCGATGTTGATGATCATCGACGAGCCGCAGAGTAGTACGAAGAACGTCAGCCTCTTGATCGACGTGGATAATTTCTTAATAAATAAAAAAAAATTAATAATAATCGCAAGAATCAATCGAGCGTCAGTTTCCTTATCGCCTGTCACTTATTTTCAACGATGTCCGTCGTGAAAGCCGATTATCTCAGCGACGATTGCAAGAGCGATATATACCGTGGATTACCGAAGCCAGCTGACTATTTTTTACCTTGTCTATGACAGCCATATCAGCGCTGAACCTATTCAGGATCTTGCCGATGGGGTTGCAGTCGAAGAACGAGATGGGCGCGCGGAGAAGCCCGGATACAGCCTCCCGATGCAATCTTCGTCTCGCTCTGGCACCTGCCCATTGACTCGCTATATTGTACAGAAGCGACGCAAGAATGGAACCCACGGAAATAATGATGTACACCTTGAAGTAGGACATCGTCTAGAAAGAGGAACACGTTCAAAATTATACCCGATCGGAGAACATATCGACTCTAGTCGGTACACTGTAAAAACTGATGTGTTAAATTTAAATTTAACACATTTCATGTGTCTCAAATCATCCACTCTCATTTATGTGTAAATTTAACACAAAATAAATGTGTTAAAAAGTAACACGCATAATATGGAAAAAATTAACACAAGAATTTAACACTTGAATACCATTAGGAATCACAGGTTGTGTTAAATTGACATATTTAATATGTCAGATATAGATTATGTCAATTTAACATTTTCACTTCATTAAAACCGTAGATTAATACTTCTCTCAAATATTAAAGTAACGTTTTATTTTAGTTAATTTAATATTATACATATTTAACACAGACTGTGATTCCTGACGGTATTCAAGTGTTAAATTCTTGTGTTAATTTTTTACATATTATACGTGTTACTTTTTACCACATTTGTTTTGTGTTAAATTTATACATAAATGAGACTGGACGATTTGGGACACATGAAATGTTAAATTTAACACATCAGTTTTTACAGTGTATCGATAGTCGTTACTTGAAACTCGTCTTACGTGAGATACTCAGATTTAAATTCAGAATGATGTGAATTTCTCAGTTGAATCGTAATTAGAAATGTGATGTCGCATATATTATTCGAATAAAAAATTTTAATCTAACATTAAATTCGATCTGAGTATTTCACGTAGGATGAGTTTCAATTGATGATTATTAATATGGGTCTAAATACAAACCCGAGTACGTCATTTGAGACAAGTTTCAAGTAACGACTATTAATACAGCTTTTTAAAGCCCGTATTAATAGTCATTATTTAAAATTTGCCTCACGTAAAATATTCAAATTTCAATTTAGAGTTAGATGAGAGTTTTTTCAGTTAAATCGCTACTACAGATATAAATGTCATACTTATCATAATTCAAGAACTTGGATCTGACTCTGAATAAAAATCTGAGTATCTTATCTAAGATAAGTTTCACGTAACGATTATTAATACGGACCTATGTTTTTCTTATCATGTAAAGATAATTTTGAAACAAAGAATTTCTCTCTATCAAAAATCAGTTCTTTGAGAAAGATTCTCTTTACATGATAAGAAAGACATAAATCTGTATTAATAGTCGTTACGTGAAAAAGATTCTCAAAGAACTGATTGATTTCAACTGTCGATCGATCGATTGATAGAATTTATCATATCTTTCATGCGAAATATGAGATAGTCCTTTTGCCTGCTGTGGACTGATACACGAATTCGGGTAAGACAATACTTTTGTCACTCTGAAATGAAACAGTGTCGAAAGTCTACTTACATCCTGATGTTCGTTGGTCGACGTGTGAGTATTTTGGTTTGTCCATTGACTCAGCCAAAGATCCATGTACACGCGAAGAATTTGGCAGGCCAAAGCCGTTACGATGTAAGCGTTTCCTGATAGCCACCCACCGGCTCGAAAATATTTCATCCAGATCGTTCCAGTGACGAGATCGCTTTTATCGTCGAGTTCACATTTATTCTGCTCTACGTCCTCGTCATCAAATACTGAAAAAATTATAAGGTACATTTGACGTCGTGGGAAAAGAAGACGAAGAAGATACTTGTAAAAAGAATAAAAATTTGTGAAAAATAACTTCAATAATTATTACTAACCCTCTTCTACTTCATCCATATCGTATCCCGTGATTCTGTATTCAGTATTCCGTGATTTTCTCCATAATAATAATTTTCCTGTTGTTTGGTCGTGTTTCTGATGCTGACGCATTCTGAAAGTACATAAGATAATAAATATTTAGTTATTTGCACTTTTGATCATTACTTCAATAACTTCATCATCTATAACTTACTTGTTTGAACCAGACATTAGTTTCCGTAAAACGCCTTTGTCTCTATTCATCGTCGTATCCTCTGGTTGTACAATGACCCTGAAATTCATATTATTATCGCTTTATTCTTTCAACATACGCGTCACAACAATCAATAGTATTACGCGGCAATATTATACGGAGCAAAGAAAGTTTGAAAACCTTGTGGAGAAGAATTGCTTTAGCACGTTGTTGCGTTGTCCATTGTCGTATGTGTTGTTCCTTTTCCTGCATAGAAATATAAACGTATAGAAGAGAAGTCTATTCTCAATGACTGGAGATAATAATATATTTGCATGATATACTTCATGAAATATTTATTTAAATAGTAATTGTCGATATATTTAATAAATATATTTAATATTTAATTGATATATTTAATTGGAATATACGAAATTTAGAAAGTGACTCTTTGCTTCGTTTCTTTTTGTAAAATTCGTATGTGAAGAATGGCTCGTTAAATTTTCGAAATATTTCGTAAGTTGAAGCGCGTTTCGTACGACAAGACCGACACTTCCTACAAGAAAGATATTGATACCTAAAGCGTGAAAGAGACGAGTCCACTATTCAAACATTCAGATACATAAATATATAGAAGCGAAACTTCGATGGTGGGAATTTCGTTAAATTCTAATCTGTCTTAATGTCGAAACTTTGATAATAAGAACTTCGTTAAATTCTAATCTGTCTTAATGTATTATTTTAAATATTTTGAAGATAATATAGTAACGCGCGGCGTAGATGTGAGGTGTAGTAATATCTAAAAATAATTAGCTTATCATACAGGAAGTCTCAATTAAAATGATATTTTTGTTGATATTTTACTTCATTTAATTTCTTTATTAATGGAATAATAATAGCTTTTGGGACTACAAAAAAGGAGACATACACAAAATATAAAACAAAAATTACAATAGAAAAAACGAGGGAAACAAAAAAAATTTATAAAATATTTATACCTCGGTGCAACATATTGATTTTCGAGAATTATCGGCGTGCTGCTCTGTCGGAGGACCAATGGTGGTTGTCTTTGAGGTTGAACACTCGTCGATCTGACGGTATCGCGACACGTCTTCGATCGTTTCCTGCCACTGCTCCATTCTTCTGTAGGCACTGGAAGATCTGTGAGATCGTAAGCCAGGTATCTCGATCCTAATGTTGTTCGACGAAGCCTTAAAGGAACAAACACCGGCGGATTCTGAAAAGAGTTCGCAGGAAACTAAAGTTATTTCAATATTCTAGACGTTATGTAATATTTTGCGTTTTCTAATCGGTGTATCCCATTCAAATAGAAATCTGCTTCGCGATCTTTCTCTCTCTCTGTCGTTGAAAAAATAAAAAAATTCTTAACATACTTGATTTCCTATAATTTACCACGTGGGCATCACGATCGACGATCCATGATCCGTCACTGGTACGTCTATCTCTTACGTTGAATCCGATCCTTGACACTAGCCTGATCAAGGACCATCTATCTCTGGCAGTCTTTTGAGACCTACTCTCGTCTTGCTGTCTGGAAGCCGCGATCTTCCACTCCGCTGCCAATTCAGGATCCGCGTCCTCAATGCTGGATTTAGTTCCGATCGCGCGAACTCGACAGCCGTCCATGACGATCACCTGAAAATAAATGTTCACTCATTACGGCTCCTGTTGTGCAAAGTTATCTCGACTCTTCAAAGAGTCGATCTGGAATTGATCGGTCGAGAAACTTGTGAAACCTGATGAGCAGTCGATAACAACTCCAGTCTGTGAGTGACCATAATCACCGTCCGACCGTTCCTCAGCAGGAATTTCCTTACGCCATGATCGAAGATATGTTGTCCGACGTGTTGATCTAACGCCGATAATGGGTCGTCCTGGAAGCAGTTTCCGGTTGTGTTAACATGCGAATTTTTGTACGAACAATTAAGCGCCTTGATATGAAATCGGTATAAAATACGGCAAACGCACTAGCAGGACCACATCGGCGTCGCTATAAATGGCACGAGCTATGGTGACCCTCTGCTTCTGTCCACCGCTCAGATTGATACCTCTCTCGCCTATTCTGGTCAGATCCCGACCAGGAAGTATATCCACGTCCAGCTGAAGGGCACACGCACGCAGCACGTTGAGGTATCTTTGCGAGCAATACGCCGAACCGAAGAGGATATTGTCCTTCAGGGTGCTGTTCAAAAGCCACGGTCGTTGCGCCACATAGGCGATCTTCAGGCCCCTAATGAAATGACACGTGATGTCTCAACTGATGAAAGCTTTAAAAATTTGCTAAGTTTTCCCTTTTCATTATTTATAACTAGCTAGAACTACCCGGCGTTGCCTGGATTATCATAAGATGTCAAGGGAATGAGATTGGAGAGACGGGATAGTGATGGTAGCCTATATTTTCCAGGATTCTAGAGAGCAATTGTGCAAAATTTGATTCAAATTGGTCAAACGGTTTAGGACAGTATAGGAAACATATAGATAGATATACATATTTTATATATATATATATATATATAGATTACTTGGTCCACTCGACACTTCCGCTTATCCGCTGAATCTCTCCTAAAAGTGCCTGCAGCAAGGATGTTTTGCCGCTTCCGATCTTTCCCACTATCATCGTCAATTGTCCTGAAATAATGTGAATAATTTAGTGATTATGTAAACCATTAAAGACTTTTTTGTGTATCGTTGACGCGTAAAACATCATTACTTTCTCGCGGTTTACGAAATTCACGCGTGAAATATTTAAAAAAAATATTACTCTTCCCCGTAGATCTGATTATCGCGCTTAAAGTCCAGCAGTGGCTCTTATTGGCCCTGTATATTTTGCGTGAACATGTAGAGAACTTTATTAACATATCTCGTTTACATATCTCGTTTACGTTTGACAATTTTGTCTTTATTTTGCTTACCACGGGGGAAGTTGAGGTCGTTAACCACCAATGTATTCTCGTCGGATCCCCAAGTAAAGATACTCGGTGTGATCTTGACGACAGAGTCCGGCACCTTCGGATCTCGCTCGAATACCGTGTCTACCGAGGAGTTTATTGTTAAATGGAACTCTTGTGAAGCACTCGGCTGCAGATCCTCCTCGTGTTCTACAATATCGTCCAGCGATCCGCACGTTGTGACGCTGGCCACCTTATTTGCCTTCATCTTGAAGAAACATTAATACATTATTTCGATTTAAATTATAATTATATAAAAAGCAGAAAAGTAAAGTAGCTTTCCGATCTCCAACTTGAAAAAAATGCTCACCTCGTTCTCGGCGTACGAATGACTCCTTGAAAATGTGTCTTCGACGATACTCGATTTTCGATTGTCTTGCTGGGGAAGAATATTCATCACTTCCGGAAGCCGGAGAAAATCCTCTAGTCTCGTAGTAGAAATCTGCAAGGGGACATCGTGAGAAGTCATTTCGGTCTTAAACGATGTTACATTGAGCGTTATTCCTCACCATGGCGTTGATAATAATCGGCACTATCGTTGGGAAGATGAAAAGCGGCACCGCCATCTGCGAGAAGAGCGCGAGGCTGGCAAAAACATTTCCCGCATCGAGATTTCGTTCTTCCAGCCAGAAATAAATTCCAAATGTGAAGAGGGTCACTAGAATCGAGGAGGCGTGCGTCACGAAGTCTGCAACGTTGAAAAAACGAATTTCATCAATCTTCTCGATTGAATTGCTTGAGTAATGAAAGTCTTGCAATGCGATAATTCGCTTATAATTTTTTTTATCAAATTTCGCGAGGTATGTTTTCGCAAAAATCTTTCGCTCTACATTGAAATAAACTGAAATTTATGAATATTTCGATTTAAACAAAATTATTTACCGATGAGTGTGCAATATATAGAGTCCTTGTCCAGCAGTTTCAATTCCTCATCCCTGGCTTTGCCTATACGATCCTCGAAGACATCCTCCCAGGCGCGTAGCTTAATAAGTCTCATTCCTTGAAGAATTTCATTAACCAGACGAAGACGCGCATCGCTTCTCTCCTGAAATATTCGGCGATTGATATTATCAAGCAAGATGTGATATAGATCGTTATTAGTCGCATAGGGAGAACTCGAGGAATTTTACGCAATCGACTAATCTAAATGCAGGAAATTGTTTTTCACCGTTATGCACGTAGAATTCACGGACATTCGTTTTCCGAGGATAAGTTGCATCGGTGTGACGATCAATATACAGCAAATTGATCCTATAATTGCACTAACGCCCAATTTCAGATACAGAAGAAAAACGATAGCGGCGATCTGTAAAGAAATTCGACGCGTGAACATATGTGCCGCAAAGGCAATTAAAGTTATTACATGTTAATCGATTCGAATAATTTATTCTACACTAAGAGAAAAACAAATATCTGAAAGATAATACTTATATGTAGATATAACATATTTACCTCAGTCTAAATTCTTTTTTATTCAAATTATTTTAATTAAATTATTTTTTGTTTCTTAGATATTTTTTCTCAGAGTAAGCAATTTTAAGATATCGATAATTAAAATAATTTTAAGATGTCAACAATTAAAATCATTATATGTTAATCGATTCGAACAATTTATTCTACACTAAGAGAAAAAAAATATCTAAAAGATAATACTTATATGTGGTAGATATAACATACTTATCTCAGTCTAAATTCTTTTTTATTCAAATTATTTTGTATTTCTTAGATATTTTTTTCTCAGAGTAAGCAATTTTAAGATATCGATAATGACACATGCGATACGGCGTGCTAATTTAAATACTTTTATATACTTTCAGAGGTATCGCCCATACGTAGTGGCCAACCCGGAAGAAGTTCATCACATTGTACGCGTCTTCGGCCATGAGATTCGTCAGGGTGCCAATGTCGGCTGCTTGCGTATGTAAGTGTTGCTCTTTATCCTTGTCAGATGGCTTTTCCTCCTCTGAGATACTCCAAGAAGGTAACCGGAGAGCTTTATCGTAAATGAGTGCCTGGAAAGGCCCAATTCGATTTTGGAATGCGTCGTTTTTCTCGGCGCTTGCGTGCGCGGTGAAATATCGAAATACAAAAAAAAATAATAGGAAAGGCCGGAAATAATAGAAAATGAATTCGATTCTTGAATATTGATGTCGCTTTACGTAACGAGATAAATACCTGAAGAGCAGTTTTCAAGCGTATTCCTGTGACATAGAGTATATGAGTGTACGCTTGGCTTAGTGTGCTCTGCAAAATGATCGCGAAGAAAACTACGATCCCAAGGAAATATCCGTTTCGCGACATTTCCGAAAATGTCATGGTTCTCTAAATAAACGCAAGAGTTAATTTCCTCGATGGCGATTAGACGCGCCGTACATTACGGCGTTGATAAATGACAGGGAGACGTGAGGCCGTACCTTCCACGGAAGATTTTCGCTCGTGTTATTTTGACTATCCGACACGTAATCAATTATTTTCGGAATCGTCATAGGACCGACTAAAGTCATAGCGTCGCCAAACAGCTTCAGAAGTCCACCCGTCGCAAAAGCTATCCATATTCGTTTCCAGAAGCATTTCCATAAAGATAATTTCCGGTCTCGGCATCGCAGCTAGAAATAGAAATAGGCTTGTACAAATATACATGCGGAAAAAGCGCATGTGTGGATGATGTACATCTAAATATTTTACATATCACACGAATTCGATCGAATTCGAATAAAAAAATTTTAAACGTGCAGTAAATATATTATATGTAATGACTATTTATAGTTTAATTATTTTTGGCCGATTATACTACGTAGAAGTTTTCTCGAGAAAGTAGCATTACCTTTTCGGTTTCGTAAATACTGCGAAATCGCTCGAACTGCTTTCTCGTTGTCTCTTCTTTCGGAAGCTCTCCGAGGTCGTGGAGTTCTAAAGGTGTCCTGTAGCCGCGCCACAGCAGGTCAGTCACCCAGTGATAGGTGATTCTGCTGAGAAACGGCGAGACGGAATGCCGATACGATTTTCGCCTGTTATCGCTTCTTTTAACAAAGTACCGTCTGCTTCTTTTTATCTGACGAATCCAAGCATTGTCGCCAATGTATTTACGATGGGAACGAAAGAAAACACAGTGAGACGCGATGTGTTTGGCATTCCATTTCGCGCAGGGAAAGAGTCGAGTGTAAAACTTTATTGAAGAGGAAACTTGCAACAGAGTATCCCCTTACAATCAACTTTGAAGCCTTTCAGAACTTTCATTTCAGACATTTCTTCCTATTTCTCGCCAATTTGAGAATTATCTGTTTAGATATTTAGACATGTATAGAAGCCAGTTGTGTCTTTCCAAATTTTGTCTTTTATATCACTAAATACTTATAAATAATCACGTGTTTCTTATTTCAATTCGTAAACTTGAAGCGCTTCAAAATTGAAAGGGGACTTGAATTTCGTTTTCATCGAGTCGAAGAAAGTTGTAAACGCGAACGCGAAAGATTTTAACGCGCCTGTTGAGATGTGGAGGGTTCGTTATGTGTACATACGTACGCACGATGATGTTTCGTCACTTTTAACGATCCGCGAACACGCGCTTCGAATGCCATGACGATTGAGCAAGAAAAGTTAGCAAAGTCCAATTGAATAATGAATAGAAAAATATATAAGATACTTTGATATAAAAGTCATCTGACATGTAACAGATTTGTTCGCTTCTTTAGCAAGGAAATAAAAAATGTCTTCTTTCAACCATTTTACGCGGTAAAGATAGCGTAGTACGCTATGAAAGTTATAAATCCCGTTTCTTTTCTTCAAGACAATCTGTGCTTCGAAGAATCGAACGATTAGAATATCGTATTCCAAATAACTTTTCCTGTTTATTTTTGTCTATTCGAAATTGAAAACCCGAACATAGGATTTATTTAAGCATTAAAGCAGAATCTCGCTCCTGTCGAAGAGCTTCTTGTCGAAGAGCACCTATTTTTGCAAACGTGTGTCGAATAAAAAGCGCGACGTTAGTGCTTGATAAGCACGCCTCGCCACGGTGCATGCGATAATAACCATTATTGTTCAAACAAACCCGGTAAATGTAAAACAAATATTTACGCTAGTTGCCAAGAGCGACTGGGTATCGTCGACGATAAGATCGTAACTTCCTTGTACTAGTTCCCGGTTTAAGTTACTCGTTGTGTAAGCACCGTTCAATGTAATCCCAGGCGCTCGTGCTTTTTAGCGCATTTCGAAGCCGGGAAAGTAAATAAAAATATCTTCGTGATAGAATCCGTAAAAGAAGAAGACTTACATGCTACGTCATTACACGCGGTATCCTTTGACTTCTTAAGTGATATACCCGAAGAAACCTCGTTGCAAAACATTAAATTGCTTTTACTTAAACCATCGTGCTTTTTAAATCATGGAACTTGAGAGAGAAATTGATAAAAATGAGAACGTAGTCGGTTACAGAACACATCGACAGTATAAGCTCACGATCAATAAAGTTGAATAATTCAACTCACCATACGATATAAACTGCAGGCATCGATGATGGCCATCAATCCGCAACAAAAGGCAACGATCGCCGTTGTTGTAAATCGAACGTGTTCGATGGACAGGAAGAATCTGAAATATTTTCCTCTGTAGTTGTTCTCAAGATGCAGTAAACGCTTTGATAAGCGCGAAACTTGAGATAAATTGTTATTGGCAAATTTATGATATTCAGTTAATCGAAAGAAGTGTAAAGTTGCTTTCGAGCGAAACTGTGCCGGATCTTGACAAGATTACGTGTCAATTGCAAGAGAAAAGACGCGAAGGCACATACATACCACACAATTAGCATATTATATATTTCATATCTCGTGCAATGGATCGACGCACACTCTACCTGTGCAAGTGATAAAGTTTCCATAATCGCGTGAGGCAGATTATCGCAAATCCGCCACCTGTCACGGCGGTACCGAAACCGTCTCTGATCTCAGTTTCGCGATGCAACATCCAACAGGATAGCACGGTGATTATCGTCAATATCGACGACAATACGACTGACGTCAGTAGGGACTCGGATAGTTCCAATAAAAGTGCCAACAGCAGCAGCATGCAAAGTAACGTTCTGCATATGTGAAACGGCAGGAGAGGCTTGGAAGACCTAAACGAGGAAAACACTGTGTTATTCTCGATCAAAGGCCCCTTTCCTCGTATTAATTGACGAGAGACGAGGGCTGGCACCGTTCCACGAATCGTCCTGATCTCTGACTAATGTTGTCTGTCCGCGTGATAAAAGTAGTCTACATTTCACTGTGGTATCGTTATGTGCGCGTGGTTGATTCATACCAGTAATGAGGCACCTAATGTGATTTATTATTACTATTACGTTATTGGGCTCCTTAATCAGGCTAATAACCGCAGTGAATCAGCATTCACAAGCCTGCACAGACTCGCGTTACGACACACGTGGTACAGATTATGATACTACAGAGGGTTGTTGGACACTTTGTGTACTCAGCGTGCCATGAGGATCGCGCGTCTCGCAATGAATTCTGCACTCACGACGAGATGTCACTCAGAGAGACTGTCATGCTAAATTATTCAAAGTACTTTCGCATTTACATTTCCCATTTAGTTAATGGGACGTTAATTGTAATCATGAAATTTCAATTTCTGCTTGAAAAATTTTTCTTTCTTTCTCTTTCTTTTTTTGTTTTCTCTTTCTATTTTTCACATTATCACACGAATAATCAAATAATTTAAGTACAAGCTCTATTAAGTTCTTCAGTGGTGATCTAAAATAACTGCACAATTACCCCCAGAATATATTTTTTTAATAAAGTAATTTTTTATTGTTTTATGCCAATATTAGTAATTATAATGGTAATTTTTTTAAATATAAATTTTTAAAAATAATTTTTTTATGTGTAATCTATAGATTTTTCTTGATTGATTTTTATTGCTGTTTTCTTTGAAGAATTTTGAAAAATAAATTACAAGATATATCTAATTTGTATCTGCTCTATAAGTTAGACAAAATGCAATAGTTTATGCAAAAGTATATGAAAAGATATTTAATACTTTATGACGAGATTTCTCAAACTACTTAAGGGGATAATTTATACCTCTTTCTATATTTTTATCTGTTTATTCCATCTTGCTGTACTTGTACGAAAAGTTTCGCGTTGCTAATCCAACGATTAGTGACGCTGTTAATCGGCAATTGCAGAATCGTCGACGTGTATCAGTCATTCAGCATTCGACCAGAGACTAAAGTCACGGAAGCTAAAGGAATGTCAGAATATCTCGTTATATGAGACACTTCGTAATCGCGTCAGGTATGCGGGCATATTACGTATTCGGGTAGAGGCGCACCATGAGTGGGATTGGGTTTGTACGCGTCTTAACGAACCTGAATGGCCTCTGAGTCATTCTGTACGCGACTCCTCGGGGGTCTACCGTGTGCGTGACGTCGCCGCGGTACCGATTCGTCTCGCACTTGCAGGTGCTCGGCGTTGGGTATGGTAAATATGAGCCCGAGAAATATCAGAGAGCGAAATACGACAACTCGATCCTTTCCAGAATTGCGCCGCTTTAGTCGCGCGCACATCAAGAAATTATTTCCGCGAATTGACCAGCGATAACTTAATAAGTAACAATGTCGAATTTTACAAATTTGCTACACGAAGAGTCAACGTGAAACATCCGATAATCGAAGCGTTGAGATTCCTCACGCGGCGATCGATGATGCAAATTAGCGAGTATGCGTCTACCTCGTAAGGAAGAGAGAAAGAGGGAGACAGAGAAACAGGGAGAAGAAGTCGAGCGACCACCTGTTATAAATTATTCCGGCAATTAATACGTCTCCGTGAGCGCACGAGTCCATTCCGGCATTCCGTTTCATTAATTACTCACGTGAAATAAAAGTACTGGCGGCAGTCGATAGGATAGGATCGCGATTAACGGGTATCGCTTCATTTGCATATAGCAAGATTTTGACACGCCTTAAGAACACGAGCGCGTTATTATTTATAATATAGCGATTACATATTTATATAATAATTACTGGATAAGATGCCGCGACAAAGTTTTGGATAATTGTAATGCGTGCTCGTAAAAAATTTTAAGACCAATAATTAATGGCCGGTGTATAAAATTAATCTAGATATCATGATTCTCTCGATTATTTAGATGTACCACGTCTATGATATCTTTCATCTTATATATATTTTATTCACGTTTTATTTACGTACTTATTACATCGAAAGAAAAAGAGATCCAAACGATAAAAAATATTTATTTAGTGGATTATTAATAACGTATTTATTTAAATCTAAATTTAAGCAGAATAAATGTTTTCTTGAAAAGTTAAACTTTAAGAAAATGTATATTTTTTATTTGATCAATATAGTTTATATTAATATTTATTAAATAGTTTATATTAGTATGAGTAAACATGTTATTATAATATCCATCGAATAAATATTTTTAATTTTTTAGATATTTTTTCTCTCAGTATGTTATGAGATATTTTTTAAGCATGAATGTTATAGCGAATTATGATTAATTATTTTTTTTACAAGATTATTGGCTCGCAGTAATTTCTTGAATTCTATTAAATTACTTCTTAATATTAAATTTCTTGTTGAATTCGTTGTTACATTAGTTCAACGCTTGGAATCTTAACATAAGTAGTATAAATATAATAAAATATTTGACGTTGCACTTTAAAAAAATTTGTGTAAAATTACATGTAATCATGAGACCAACTATTATAGTTGTAAATTTACACACTTATCAAAATGTGTCTTTCGTCTATATAAATATATTTTTATGCGATAATTGTCGTATTGTAAAAGTGTGTAAATTTACAACTATAATAGTTGGTCTCAAAATTACCCACTATAATGAGATGTAATTTTTCATAAATTTTTTACAATGCGGTTCACGCACTCGAAATATTGAATTTTTCGAGACGTTTTACCACGAGAAAATTTATCACGATAAGAGATACTGTAAAAATAATAAATATTAATACATATGATGCGTATAAACGTGAAGTTCAATACTAAGAGCGCGTTCGTGCTACGTAATTAACGAAACGTAATTTATGTCGTACTTGGACAAGCAGAAAATTGAATCATTGCGAAAATACCGGGGAATTTTACCGACTCACAGTCCTTCCAGCTTCCGCGAAACGTGAAGCTGCGTTACGACGTTATTACAACTTTAGCTCGCGAAAATAATCAATGTGTCTTTTCGAGGAACGCCTCAAATTCATCATGTTTAACTTGGCTTACCGAAAACTTGACGTGGAGAACACACGATGACACGACAAATCGTGAATAATCGTGAATTTTTATCATTAGTAGTGCAACATGTTGATAACCAATTTCTCATTATCCGATTAATACTTGGCACTAACGCGATGAGAGCATCGTAATCTTACTTGGAAAAACTGCCACTATTGCAGTAATGACTTGATAAAGACGATGAGCGTCTTTCGTTCCAGATATTGATTCAAGGACGATCGTTTAATTAAAGATCCGCGTTGACTTTCGTCGGTTTTAAACGAAGCAAATACTTCGGGTTATAAAACGTAATCGTCGACTGAATCATTGAGACGGAGAAGGAGGCCAGGGTAAAATCCCGAAACAAATGTGACGTTTAATTGAAACTTACTGCAATTAAGTCCAGCTAGTTCCTCTTAAGAGAGTATTCTGGTTTGAAAAAAAAATATTTTTTCGGAATTTTTTGTAAGGAAATAAAAAAATCGAATAACGTCAAATGCATATTATAGTTTGTGCATATTATAGTTATGCTTCTCCTGAATAAGAAAAGTTTTTGTTTTGAAGCTTCAAATATCTAGGAAGCTTCTAGTAATCAGGATGTAACATATAAAATCAGAGTGTTTTTTTGTAATTTAGACAATAAAAAATATATTCTTAAAATAAGGTTAAAATAATATACAAAGTTTGATATTACTCGATTTTTTCGTTTGCCCTAAAAAATTCCATAAAAATATCTTTTTTGTAACCTAAGATACTCCTTTAAACTCAGACTGTAAGATACCCCTTTAAACGACCGCGCCAAATGTTCCACAACAATATGCCGGCGCGAGAAAAGCCTCGTATTCTTTGTATTCGCCGGCGTTTCCCGTTTTAGACCGTTATGTAATTACATCGCCGCGACGCGCGATTGAGCGGCGATTCCGTTCGTTTGGTTAATCGCGCGGAATACGTAATTGCCGACCAACGGTGGCGGACAAAATTGGGAGCGTGAGGCTATGAATTGCACCCGGTCGAGAGTTACAGTCTAAGACGGCTAATATTACGAGCAATCGATAACAACGGTTATAAACGCAACACGCTTTTTCGCGTCGACTTACGTTTTGCTGGCGCCGCATTTGTACTTCAGGATCAACATCGCGGCGACGAGCGTCGTGAAAACGGCGACAGAGACATTCATCAGCTCGACGACACACTCTGCCGTTGTGAGCGGATTCCTCTCTGGGATTTCGAACACCGTGCCGTTCCCATTCCGCCAGGTCCAAACGATCCGCTTCTCGGGCCTCGACAGCATATGTAAAAATCGGTACCGCCTGCAGAACACCATCTTGACCGCGTGCGCGCAACACCTCCAGCAGTTTTAACACGAGGTGTCATTTATAATTCACCGATCGCACCTGAAAATCGAAGACTTACGCACTGCCTCGAGAAGGTCGAATGATTGTGCCTACGGCACAATAGAAATATAAATTAATTGTGGCAAGCCTTAATATGTGTAGTGGCTCTAGCTAGAGATACCTCCAAATAGGCATATCTTTATAAGGCCCCTCAGAGCTAAAGTAGGCAAATCCTGAATGGAACTTCGCGAATAAATATTCATATTTAATTAATATTCGTATAGCTCCTAAAGAGTAACTATGCAAATTTGATTCAGATCGGTCAAAGAGTTTAGAAGTGAGGAAACAGAAGAGAACAGACAGACATTCTATTTTATACATATAGATAATTACGTACGATAATTACATACCTGGAAATACATGACGTAATACTAATCACGTCCCGGTATCCTGCGCCCTTGGCTTGGCTTGGCTCGTCTTGGCTTTCCGATTCCTGGTTTCTGGATACTTTGTCGTTCAGGATACTCGTTTATAGCACTCACTGAGATTTGCGTAGATATGATTCGATCATATCAATGAAAAAAAATATCTAAGAAATAAAAATAATATTTATTTAATGGGTGTACTAATAATCTATTTACTGAAGTCTAAATTCTTGTATTTAAATAGAATATATAATTGTTTTCATGAAGAGTTGAGGTCTCACGAAAATATATATTTTCCAAAATTAAAAAAATATAATATATATTTTCGTGAAACCTCAACTCTTTACGAAAGCAATTATATGTTCTATTTAAACAAATAAATAAATAAATAAATATATATATATATATATATATATATATATATATATATATATATATATATGTTGTCAGTATTCGTCAAATAAATATGCTTTATTTCTTAGATATTTTTCCTTTTAGTACAGCTTTCAGTACATACGTATGTTAAACGTAATGCCGACGAAGACGTATTAAATATTTCAATGGTTGGCGAAATTTTTTTATCATCACGACGGGAATATACAACTAACACACTGATACACGTACTCCGTGGTGTACGCGTCACGCCGGCTCGGGACGCAATGAAAACATGGAAAAGCGCGCGCCGCACGACGGACGGTTTAACCGTCTCGAAAGTACGATGTGTTTTCATTGTTGTGCTTTGGTTGATACGATCTCCTCAATGGCGATTGACGACAGATAACTTTTTGCTTTTTTTGCCGATTGTTTTGGTACTCTCTCGCGTCGCGTACTCTTCCGTATGATACAGTATCTCATTACGTTCCAAGTCGGCAACATGTACATTTGCGCGGTGTACACGTGTTGGTTACTGCTCCCGTTAGGTGATTATTAAAATACTTTGTCGGCCCTTGAGACGTTGAATCGGCTTAATTAACACGCATTTCAAACTGTATCTACGCGAGTGATAGTGCCAGTGTGGGGATTCAGAGCAGGATGCTGGATCGGGACGTCGAAATGGAGGAGGCAGTGTGACATGTCATGTATATCCAGGTGCGTGAAATCATTTGTCATATGTTCTTAATTGGTATTTGATGACTTACCGAGAATAAGGAGATATATATCTCATTCTCTTCCCGAGTCGAAATTTAGGTGCGCATTTTATTTGTCATTCGTCACTCGACAAATAGCTTCATTAATTACTGATTGTTCATCTTACATTGCTTGTATCTGCATTTGTTTCGTACAAATGGAATATTGAGAAAATCTACTATTAAAGTTTAATTGATATTAACTTTTGAAATTGATACTTCTCTAAACTTTAACATGGAGAAAACGGTAATAAAACACCATTTGTAAAAACCATTTATAACCATTTTTATTTGTTAAGATAAAACAACAGTTTGTGCAGCATTATGTTTTTATTACTTCTTCAAGCTCGATGATTTGTAGAGCTAATGCAGAACCAAAATTTTGATTTGGGATGTGTCCCATATAAAAAAAGAAATATTTCTATAATGTTTAGTCAAGATAATTCATGATTCTTTCACTTTATTAAAAATACCATTAATATGCTATTTAACGTCATCTGACGTCATTTGACGTTATCTCACTACTTGGGTTTATTATAAAGTTATAATAAATGACTTAAGTGAATATTAACTGTTTTGTAAGGTAAAAATACCAACGTCTGGACACTAACAATACTACTATCTAATTTTTGTTGTTTTTAAATACGAATATTTAACTTTTCACTCAACGTGAAATAAATGCATTTATTAAAAAAAAAAAAAAATATATATATATATATATATATGTATATATATATTCTTTTCATATATTAAAAGTTTCATATTAAAATATTTGTATTTAAAAATTAAAGCGATAAAAATGCCCAGAGTTTAATACCAGAATTGGTACCTTTACCTTATCTTACGGAAAAACCATATGTAAAAATGGGAGCTGCGTGTCATTTCCAGAAGAAAATAGTATATGCTAAAGTGTGTTGACACAGACCGGAATACATTATACGTTAGTATCCCGTATAACTGGATATTGGAGTAACAGTTTATCTTTACGTCGCTTTTATATATTGACGTCATAGCGGAACTATTCGCGAATTAACTCTGCCTCTCGTCCTGTAAACTTCGGACACCGCCACGTGGCCCATTTTCGTTTAGCGCTTTGCGCACTCTAAAAATACATCAAGCCGCCGAAGAAGCGTCTTCTATACTCGATGAAAGGAGCGCGCGCGTGTGCTACCAATTACGCGAAATCTTTCATAATTCATCTGTCGCGCGTTATGTAATCCGAGAAGGTCAGTGAGATAAAATCGATAAAACGGTAATGTCGAATGAAATCTTACGCGAGTTCGCGGTGCACGTGCGGCAGGTACGTCGGGCAGCCGCGTCCTATTCGTAGCTGAGTTATGCACAAAGTATAATTAATTGCATTTGAAAAACAGGTCAATAAAGAACTAATGAAACGAGGTAAAATTGTAACCTCGACACGCGGAGTTAAAGGAGAATTCTAGTTTAAAGGGCCGCAATGGGAAAAAGATACTTTTCCGAAATTTTTTGTAGGCAAATGAGAAAACCGAATAATGACAAACTTTGCATATTCTTTAAGCCTTATTTTAAGAATACATATTTATTATCTGAGTGACAGAAACGCTTTTCTTTCCACGTTATATTCTGCTTATTATGAGCTCGCAAAGAAAAACGTGCACGGAAGGTGGGAGTGATTCTCCTATTTAAAACACAAAAATAACAAATTTTCTTATTCAGAAGTGTGGTTATCGTTTGAACTAGAACTAAACTGATATTATCATTCTGGACAAAATGGCGATTTTTTTATTAAAACATTTCAGTTCTCCTCAGTATTGTTAATATTTTATAAAAAACAAGACTGATAAATGTATAATGTTTGTTTTAATTCAGACGACATATATGTGTGTGTGTGTGTGTGTGTGTGTGCGCGCGCGCGCGTGTGTGTGTGTGTGTGTAGCTACTCTTCTCCTAAATAATAAAATTTTTTGTTTTTACGCTTCAGATATCTCTAAGAGAATGTTCGTAGGTGTTATTTTGCGAGTTCTTAGTGACCAGGATATAAAAGCGTTTTTGTCATTTGAACAACAAAAATATATTTTTAAAATAAGATTAAAATGTATTTATAATTTTCATTGCGAACGAATCTCGTATCTTATATATTTTTCTTACTATACAGATCTATCTGTAAGTCAACAATTAGTTATGAGAAGTGACGCTTCTCACAAACATAACAAGGAATTGTATTATTGGATTACTACACGGAGAGAGAATCATGCTCTATTTATACTTTAAATATATATATATATATATATATATATATATATATATATTCATAAGCAAAACAATGTTCCGTTAGTAAGCCAATAACAATGAGAAGTTTTTAATAATAAAATCCGCGAAAACTACGCGCGAGCTTTCTTGGTAGCGATCAATCACGATCAAAAACAGGAAGAACTAATGAACATTTTTCCGGAGGCAAACATATATTTTTTAACTTCGATCAGGTGTAATGCGATGCGCGTAAATGATATTATTGTCGTGCGTGTTGCGCGCGTCGCTTTGAACAAATCGTCGCGATTTGCCTAACGCGAATGATTGCGTGTGTAACGTAGACGCGAGTTACGTGTACGAGCTCGTTCATTGGAATATTTAACAACGGCACTTCATCATGTTGCGTCCGCCATGTCATACAGAATAACGAGATCGCGTCGTGTAGTACTCACTAGCCGGATTAATTTCACTCATGACTTCATATTGTGCCGATGGAAACAGGCTGATAAGTCTGTACTCGCTCTCTCTAATCGGCACCCACGCCAACGATCAATTAACGATTCTCAATTAACCTCCTCACGAGACGCGGCTCATCGGCGAGCCGTGGCACTTGACACTAGCCGGCTGTCAGCGTGAGTCGTGCGTGCCGTCGGCACTGCCACGTGCGCGTCACTGACAGGTGGTACAGCAGCCGCGTCCGTTCTCGTCGATGGTTCCCGCGCTACTGAGATGATGGTCGAATAGAATGCGAATAGCAATTCCGCGTGCACGCGGTGAGTCATTGGCGAAAAGAAGAAAACAGAAAAAGTGGAGTCTCGTTGACTGCGATCACGGCACGCGACTCGATGTCAATATGGTATCTAATAACCGCATGGAAAAAAAGAAGTTTGCCTTAGATTAACTAAATGTCTTTGGTGAAGTGCGAACGAACCAGAAATTCCGATTGAACTTATCAGAATTCTGCACGAGTTGAGCAGACTTCTGGTCAATCAGAAGTCTCGTTTTGAAACATTTTTTGCCGGTCACGTGGTTAATTCAATCAAATCTTTTTCTTTTCGAGTAAGGTTACATCTCGCGATATTTTCGTTCTTTATGTCGCTGTCGCACAAAAAGTTCTTACATGCCCACGCTTGCTACATGTACATTCGTTTGCTGTTTTTAATTTGAAGACCCGATGAGAATCTCTCCGTTGCCCTTTGGCTTTCGTACATTGAACGTCACTTTTGGCGACTCCAAGAGAACGGAGCGAGTCATGAGGTTTTTTTATATCTCTGCCTCTCGGTTTTTATTTAGTTGACAAAAGCGATATTATCACGCGGTGAATTCGCATCTGTTTTGAAATCGATTTATGTAGAAACTCTTCTATGTTAAATTTTTAACTTTCTCATGTCTTTGCATATATTGTCGTTGTTTTATTTTTATATTTTTATCTTTAATAAATTTTCAATAAATTCAATAATTAATATTTATTTTAATTATAATTATTTTTCAATAATTCAAAATTTAAATTCAATTACTCAATAATTATCAATCATTTTCAATAAATTTCTTTTATTTTGTGTTACCTCGACTTCTATAAATTCTATAAATTGAATTCATATTCACTATTTCTCAGTGTTAAAGTAACACAATTTATATGTAACATGTACATTCTTGATAGCATATTTTATGTGTAAAATGTACAGATAAGTTGTGTTGCTAACATATTTACCTTGTGTTACATTAACATAAAAATTAGAATAGAATGGATTTGGGACTGTGGGGGAAATGTGTTAGGTTTAATATAAAATTTTTGGCAATACAGCACGTAACATCCGTTATTCCGTAATTCTAGAATCGTTATCCGTAATTTTAGAATTATGTTGCTTTCACTCAACATAAAAGTTTATTTTATTTTACCTTATTGATTATAAAAGTTTCTTTTTTATTCTTCTTTCTTTTATTTTACATTTTTTTATGTTCTCTCGTTACATTGAAATTCCGCCCTTCCTAAAAATGTATGGTTTTCGTTGCAAAACTGCGATACGACCATTAGATAGTCGTCATTAGATATTGTTTCATTTCTAACTGTATATAGTAGCTATAATATATAGTTGTAATAAAATATGTCGACTGAATACTTGCAAAATTGCGACGTAGTCACTTTCCGTGCAACTCCCGCGCCACACCGGAAATCGTATTCGCGAACTTAATATACCAGTTTCGAGGTCCGGTTTCCCAGGATGAGTCGAACGCGTTTTCACAAGTCCTCGCCGAGGCGCGGATGTGTAAGAAAGCAGCAACCTGGCGTCGTTCGTTCAGTTTTTCCGCGACGAGTCCGTCCGGAAAGTACCAATAGCTGCGCCCCTATTAATGGACACTGTTTCCACAAATCGTATTAGTCACGGCTTAATTTTACCGGCGAGGCTTCTGTTTACTTTTTCGTCGGCTGCTTCTTCGGCAAGGAGCGCGATCTTTCCAAGTATCTACGTTTGACCGCCAATACTGACTGCTCAAGTGACATTTCGAAGAACCATTGAAGTAACAGCGATTCCGCGATATTTTATACTTTATATGAATGCGAGCACGTTGTATCGAATGAAATAAAGACGTGGACTGTTTCTCAAATAAATCGCTCAATTATGCAAACCTTGAACTACGCGCCGTCGCGCGTCTCATCGATAAAATTGCACACTCCAAGAGTTGAAACAATCAAAATTTCAATCGACTCGAACAAGATCTCAATACAATTAATTCCTGAGTACTCGTTGTGGAACTCTTGATTGCTGACGTCAGAGGTAAAAAAATACACACAATTATATATGGAAAACAGTGTTTCCCTTATAATAACAGGCCAAATTTGGAACAATTAAGATAGTGAAAGGGAATGGGGTATATCAATTGCGGAAAAAATGATATACTATTAACTTTTATTATTTAATATCAATAATATATAATATTATTGTATATGATATATATTTTATATCACTTAAAATGAAAACTATATTAAAATGAAAATTATTAATAAGAAAGAATTAATAAAACAATTCTAATGGTAATTACTTTTCTATCTCAAAAATATTTTGTACATTAATTTCTGCTGGATTCAACTGAAGTCGCTAGCATGCCTGACACTTGTATGTGTCAGAATCAATCATGTTGCTTCAAGTTGCTTAGGTCGTATAGTAACAATTTTTTATCATATTTTAAATACTATATTTTCGATCTATAAGAAGAAAAACTTTCTATGTTACGTTTCATAAAACGGCTTTTTTCATGGAAATAAGTTCTTTGCAACACTGCGTTGATTTCGCGGTTATTTATTGTCTGCCAGAGCAGAGAGGAAGTGTTCGAGCTGTTTTGCAAATTTGCTTGATCGATTACAAATTTCAGTTTACGGGCACATACCTTACGTTCACGTATTTCGCAGGAATTTAATGAGCGTGCGTTTTTTTCCTTGCTTCCGGCGTTCCTAAGTAAAGATGCGAGTACCCAGGAGTCTTAAATCGCGTGGCGTTAGACACGGCGATTAGATTCGTCGCAACGGCGGCGTGTTCAGTCACGGGTGCGCGTTCGCACTATTTTCAGCCTCGGTAACTACGCTTTATTTGCCTATCTATCGGGTAATTAATTACCGGGGATAATTTTCAATCCCGCCCGATTACAAATCGGGCTGCCTTCATAGGCATCGGCCGTCTCTCTAACGTTCGCTCGCCAAAAAGTATATTACATCGGGACTAACCAGTTTGTCGGCCGCGCATACGCAACCGTGGCATTCTGCGCGATTTCTGGAGGAGGGACGGTGTCGTTCGCGCTAACTAGTTCGTTATTAATGCCCCTCCCGTCGTTCGTCATAAATTTCCTCAGTGCTCTCCCTCAGAAAAATATGTATTAAATCGCGCGAATCGAAGCAAAGTGACGGGTCGTCCGCGACGTTTATTTAATCTCGCTTTCCTTTAACGTTACTCCTCTATCTCGTTTCGCTCCCCACGCGCCAATCCCGCGTAATAAATTATCCGGTGCACCGTTAAGCGATAGCTTTTAATTAAACTTCGAACATAATATTAAACCTCGTTCATCTCACGAGGAGGCGCGCGCGCGCGTTCGCAGGCGGGGGAGAGACAAGAAAGGATACGCAGACGCGGTCGATTTATTTGAAAAATATTTAATAATAAACATTGACAATATACAGAGAAAATACGCCATAAGAAGTCGCTATGGGATTAATAAGAACCTAACAACTGGTCCAGACTTACAAAATATCATCAAATCAGACAATGATAAAGGTGTCACACATGAGTCACACCTTATATTCCTATCAATATTCCGCAAATAAAGTTCGAGTTGATCATTTATATTCCTGTTCTCTTATTATATTCTCTATTTACTTTTTTTCACCCTTTTTTCTGTTTTGTTGCCATTTCACGGATTTTTCGTGGATTTCTTGCGAACTCGCGGTGTCAAACTCTCGGTGGCATAAGTCGCTCTTACGCGCGCATAAGGAGATCCGTAAAGGGACGCGCGTCGCGTGTATAACGGCGTTTCCCTTCGCGGATTCCGTTGCTTTAGACTTCGTTTTGCGAGAGAAGCGGAAAAACAGGTGGCGATTAGCGTTTTATTTTTTTTTTCGTTTTCAACTAGCGTTTCCTCAATTGTTCGCGCCTCGAACAATTGCTGGGTTTTTGTTTCATTTTTTGTCATTTTTTGTCTTCGTGCTACCTTAACGATAATTAGACAGTGTGCTCTTGATTCTTTTTTTTTTTTTATTTCATCGATCCAAAGAGAGGGGTACGAGTTTCTCGCACATCCGCCACGCACGCATCACGCACGCACGCACACATGCACACAGCTAACAACACGTAGCCACACCCCACGCATATGCACACGCTGTGTCACGTCACGCACGCACACGCACGCACGTATGCACACATACATACACATACATACGGAAACAGTACAGACACATAAAATTTTACACACGCACGCGTCGCTAGAAATATCATTAATAATAACGCCCTAATGTCATGGAACATCCCTCATTTATTTTCTTGCAATAATTCGAAAAGAGCAGGCACGGCGCCGCCGAATGTCGACAACAGCGACAAGTATTCTCTCGCGTCGGTGCGTCGATCGCGGAGTCGCGCGTTCTTCCTCTCTCGCCCTCTCTCTTTCTCCTCCGTCCCAGACGATCGCGCGGAGATCACTCAGAATCTTCGAGAAATCTTCGCGTTTCGACAGCGTCGTGCCTCAAATACACTAGGATATGTTGCTCTTAAGATGTGTTATTACGTAGTCATGTAATCATCTAGATTCATTTAAAAATCCCTTTACGGTATTTATCATTAATAATTAATTAATTAATTAATAATATAATAATTATACGTATAACGTACGGTGCGTATCATTGAGTTATGTTACACTGCGCGATCCCACTATGCTCCGGATTTCGTCATCGTAAAAGTAAAATTAACTTGTCGGTGGTTAGGAGGAGTTCGGGCTCTGCCGCGTCGCGTGCATTCCGCCGGCTCGCCGAATCGAGCAGCTCGTCCTTCCACACCGGAACCGTCTTGAATCCGCATCCTTAAAAATTGGAGACTCGAGACGGTCCCGAGGATAAGCTCCTCGATTCAGGTGGGAAGTCACGCGAAGGCTGAAGACCGAAGTGACAGTTTGGGGATACAGAGATACGTGAATGTGGTGTGGGAACTTGGAAACTCGAAATCCAGATATGTCGCGGTTTTCCTTTTCCGTGGGGACAATCAATTAATTACGGCCGAAAGGATCATCCGAGCGAGGCTCGTGAATTATTATCATTTCTTCTTCCATTTTTTTTTTCGTACGTCGCAAATCAGAGAACTCAACAGTCACTTCGGAGCGAAGCCCATATTTTATCGACGCGATATTCTTTTGATGTTGAGAAAGAAGGGAACGAAAGGGGAAAAGTACAAAGAAACCGACGAGACATTAAGAGGGACAGAGAGAGCTGCTCTAGCCTCTAGTTTCTATAAACATCTTGTACGATAGGCCTGTCGCAACAAGTTACGCGTAATAAAGAAGGAGAAAAATCGAAGGAAGTTGTGCACTTGTGACAAAAGGTGAGACGCGACGAGGCCGCGGAAGGTCACGGCTTTCTGCGCGACTGTTCGCCGTCGTCTCGCTAAAATTTGAGCTTGACTCTCTTACGCTAGCCACTAGTAGTAATAATAGCCTACCGGTAAAGGTATCGATTACGAGTAAGTATAAATTGTAATTACAGGGTATAATATACAAGGATAAATCTCGCAGAGTCTCTCGTGCGTTTCGTCGCGCGCGTGCCTCTGCCGCCGCGGAAGGTACAGCTGCGAAAATCTCTATTTCTGAACGTAACATTCTCGGTTTTTCTCTTCTCTCTCTCTCTCTCTGATAAACTCTCTTTGTGTTATCTTTCGTCGCGGAAGGATATGCATCTTCGAGAAACAGTCGAAATGAGTGCAACGATCTGTCGTCGAAAGAACGGAAAAAGATTTCGTTTGTTTGCGCGAACGATACATCGTTCTCTTTCTCTCTTTTTATTCAAAAATGATCTGTTGTCTGTGAAATATTTACGTGAGATAAGTCTCGTTCTCGTTCGACAGAATCCTCGCGGCGCTTCGCGTGTCTCTCGCACGATGCGCGACCGCGCGTTTCCTTCTATGGAATTCTTTTTCCTCTCTCCCTTCCCCCATTATTAATTAATCTACATTCAATTAATTTAACGTTACGAGAATTATGAGTATGTCTGAGTGTAGTGGTTTTTTCTTTTGTTCTGTTTGCGCTTGCTTATTCATTAGTTCTTTTTTTTTCCTAAGAGTGCGAGTCTCGGCCGCGTTTCTCGGCGCGCTTCTCCACGTTTTCTTTGTGCTCGACAACTAGCCGACGATCTATGTACACGTACAAGACGCTCGCGAGAGAGAAAAGAAGAGGCAAGGATAAACGAGGGCAAAGAAAATGGTAAAGAAAGAATCGTCGCCGCCTTGAGCGTCCTCGAGTCTCCTAAACTTAGCCTAATCCTAGCTGAAGATGCGATTAAAACGTAACGACGGCCAAACTACTTGCCGTACACTCTAAAACATCTTTGTCATATTTGGCTATTTCACACGACTCCTTCGTACTCCCCAACGTCCAAAGTCCGCCTCCTCCTACGTGCGTGTGCCAATCTTTCTACAATGCTCTCCTTCCACTGCTCAGACGCTTTTTCAATTCGCATTCGCATGTCCCATTCTTACGGTACTTAGCGCAACATTTTATCTCCTTACGTATAATATACGATAAATCTTCGCTTAACTAGTAATTTTTATAACAGCGATATCACTCACTCAACTCAGTGTGCGTACCATTTCTTCTGTCGCGTTTACTCCCCCAAATAGAGTATCTTTTTTTACTTTCTCTCTTTTTTTCTCTTCCTTTTTTGTTACTTACTGTGTACTGTGTTAGTGTTACCGATCTACTCGATCAGGAAGCAGTTGTTATCGAATGTCATCGAGAAAAGGCTGGGCGATCGAGAACGCCGGCGCTCGGAACAGAAAGATCGAAAAAAAAAAAAGACAAAGCGACGCCCCGCGATCACGAAGGACAACAACCTTCTTCTCGCACGAATAAATCAACGATCTTGTGTGGGAAATTGGGGACGTGGAAATAGTATATTTTTATCAAAAGTCGCGCGTGCTAATAGAGACTAATCGGTAGTCTCCATAATACATAACATATTGAGAACACAAGTATGATAGATACAAAATTATATCTAATGTAATTTCTAATGTCGAAAATACGCCGCAGTTTCGCATTCATACAGGACGAAACTGCGTGAAACTGCGGGAAAAAAAACATACAAAAAAGAAAACAGAAAGGAAACGATGTCGCGCAGCTTACGTATGTGCGTGCGTACAACAGACTCGTTGTCTCGCACGGTTGTGAAAAAGGAATATCATAAACGCGTGTGTAGGTTTCGCGAACCGCAACTGTCTCGGGGCAACCGCTCGCACCGACGTTTTCGACCGCTCGACGCATTCACAATCGCCACAATCGGGTCGGCCAGGATCTGGCCGTTACTCTTTAAGTGACGACGACGAGTTCGTGTCGACGCGTCTCTCCGATATCGAGGAACTGAGACGACCTGCCGAAATATACCAACGTCGCGCTCGCATTTAGCATTGCTTATTACTGGTTTACAAACAACGGCGTTTTACAAGTAGCGTCGTGGACTGAAGGTCCGGGGGTGTGCGCGTTCGCCAGCGCGTCCTGAGACGCGCCGAGGAGTTCTGCTTCTACGAGTCTACACGTTCCTCTTTCTCCTATGAGATTCTGTATAGTTTCGAATGTTTTACGACGCGGTGGCTCTGTAGGCTTAACGTTTACATGATAACGGAACATAAAGCAAAAAAGAAGAAACTGTCATGTCCGGTCGCTTGGCTAAAGAATAAATTAGATGGCTCGCGTCGCGTCGCGCGGCCGAACACCACGTCGGCTTGGATTCCGCACGCGAGAAAGAAACGGGAGAAGAGAGCGTGGGTGACGCGGACGCGCTCGTCGCCGCTCCGTTGCGTGACTCGTCGGCCTGCGATTGTTTCACGCGAGACAATAGTCATCGAAAGCCGGGGGAACAATGCGCGAAAGGGCGCGGTGAGGTCTTGCGTACACCAACTTCAACGGCCCAGAAGTTAACGATAAAATCAGGTTGTATCTTATAGCGAATTTGGTTGCTTGCACTGAAAGTGTGCACTAAGATTTGTTCATTTGTTATTATATTTAAAGATTGTCTTAAATAAATTCTAAAATATTTTTAACCAGTAATATGATACGTACAACATCCGTACGAATCATTTTATTAGCTAAAATGTTTTTCAATATGTATTTAAGACACGATTTTAGATATAAGAATGTACATGTTAACAAGCCTTAGCGCGCACTCAATGCACACTAGTGCAAGCTACCGAATTCGCTATTAGTGATTGTGCAGCTGTGTGCGCTCTTCACATAGTGTAGTACAAATGGATTCAACATAAAGTGATTCGAAAGTTCTGTCAACGTTTCACGTTCGGAAGTGTCTCATTTAGCCAATCAGTTTCGACATCCACGAATCACGTGGCACCGACGACGCGTTCAGGCACTCGGAGGGAGCGGCGAGTCGCGTGTATAAATCGTACAAACAATAAATAAATAAGAAAAGAGGAATATAAAAAAAAAAAAAGAAAACAAGATCGGAGGTGCGTTGTCGTTTTTTCGATATCGGGTGGCTGATAACAGAGAGAACCGTTCTGACTAGACTCTGCGCGAATCAGAATCCGGGCGTGAGGTGTCTGTCGCGGCGGTCACACGTTTCACAAGGCAGTGCTCTTCCTTCTCATCTTTTGCCGTTCGCTTCTTCCCGATAGAATGGCGTGCCGAGAACAGAGTCTTTCAAGTTCGCGAACCTACGCATGTAGTACACGCACAGCACAAGCGCGCATATATTCATACATTTGGCATAGAAACCCTACCGGTCACACACACACACACGTTTTTTTCGCTGCTTCTGTATTAGCTACACATCGCTTTTCACGCAATTTTTTTTTTCTTCATCTTCTTTTTAGCTACCTAGCTACTTAGAGAGAGGTCTCGCTTCGTAATATAATAAACCGGACCACCATCGCGTGTCGGCTCGTGTCGACAACGTATGTGCGCTCTCTTTTGCCGACGTTTCGCTGCCATGAAGAAGCAGAGCAGTGTGTTCGTTCCGCAGGCGGCAGCCATTTACGCGCGTACGTTCCGTCACGTCGTAATGTATGTATAACACACTACGCTGTGTTTCCCGTGCTTCGCGTCGCGTTAATGTTCCGTTCGTTCGCAATTAATTTCCTTCTTCCTCTCTCTCTCTCTCTCTCTCTTTCTCCCCCTTTGTCTCTTTATCACTGCAAAGTTCGCTCCTATCAATCTCGTCTCGACGTAATTGATCGTTAACTATTGGCATTGTTTCTTTATGTACGCGCATATTCGAACGGTATTCGCCGAATTTATTATCTACACGGTGGTTGTGCGGGAAAGTTTCTCTCACGCGCGAATAAAATCGCCGAGTGGTATAGTTCTGCGCGCTCTACTAAGATAATAGTTATGCCAAATATTTTGTGCACCTGTCGTGCGCACGACGACTCGCCGAGCACCGAGTCGATGTTGTTATCCGCTAATTTAAACTACGAGTACAAATCACACGATTATTAACCTGACTAAACAAGAATAATTACAATAAATGCATAGCTATGTTACAATTGGCTGAGTAAGACGGGCGACGGGCGGAAACGGCATTGTCGCGAACGAACGGGCGAGGATCTCGCCAAGTGTGTGCGCTCGTAATCTCGCGCACGCCAGACGCGAAATTACAACTCGACTGAAAGTTGCGCAATTGTATGTCAACACGCGCGCACACATACACATGCGCGATGACACACGCTTGACACGTCCGCCGCGGAAGCACATCTTTTCGTATTAGTATAAGGTGCGTGCACGCACACTTGGTAAATACGCGCGCACGAACGCACACCGCCGACGTGTACTCGCGAAATACGTTTCGCGCCCGACACCATTGGTGGGTTGCTGCTGAGAGGGAACACGTGCACGGGTCGCATGCACGTCCTATCGGAGACAACGTATGACAACACTAATGTATCTTTTTGTGGAGCAACTATATAAACAAGAGGGTCACATAGCTATATCGTATTCTTCTGTACTTCTTCTGTCTTTATACGTATATTCCGTTGCGGGCGATCGCGAAACTTCGAGCGTTCCTCGCACGGTCATTATTAAAATGTTTAAAATCGCACTGGATATGTCCCCTGAAAAATGCACGACAGCGACTACAAATGATTGACACGTTGGCCGTGTCGGAAAGACCGGCCTCGACCAACGAAAGTGCAGTTGTGTTGAAGGGAATCGCGACGAGCTCTATTATAGTTTTGAAACCGTCAAACGTCGATATCATCGAGGCTAATTATTCATTGAGACGGAGACGGAAACGGGGGCCCGGGCGGAGAACGGTCTCCTTTTCTCCCGCGTTTCCGAGCGAGCGAATGGCTGCTGCCGCTGCAGTTTGCTGTCGGCAGGAAAACGATCAGAGCGACTCGCCGTCGAACGACTCGACACAACTCGATGCGTCGGCCTCGACTCAACCGCCGTGTTCGCCGAACGCCGAACCGCCGTGTTCGCGAGCAGACGACAAGGAGGCATCATCCTTCTTCCTTCGTCGCCGTTGCATCGCAGCTGTTTCGCAAATACAGATCGAATTTCTACAGTTGACGGCGTCCCGCAGACGCTTATTCCGACGTTTATAAAACGACGACTTCGCTTGCGATCGGACGAGATTATCTCATTGATCGGTGGCACGATGCGCCACCAAGGTCGTGGTATCCTCGGCTCCCTGTCGCGAAAGTACTCCTCGGAACAATCCTCATGAGTGTCGCAGACGGGGCCGCCGAATTTCTTCTCCGCTCCGACGGAGAGTTCAGACGCGTCGCCTCGTGGGGTGATCTCGATGATGGCAAAATGACGGTGATGATTGTGTCGACTTCTTATCTGGTCATGTTGTCTGCTGAGTATAATGCGGTGTATTTTGTGGAAGGCTCGCTGCGCTTCGCTGTCAACGATCCGTCTTAATATGGTGTGAACCTGCTGTATCCACCCCTATAGACAGTCGCCTGGAAAAGTCAAAGATTCGTTAATAAGACGAAATACACACAAGGCGCAATTGCTTACACGTGACGCAACGCTTTGACGGTCGCTAATGATCGCGGGAAAATGTTTGTTGCCGGCAAATCTTGAAAGCTCACTTAGATTTAAAGAGGCAAGCACTCTTGTATGCATTCAATACAACGTAGTTTTATTTTTAGCGGAATACTCTTATATATGGTCTCAAGAGGATTCTTCTAAAAGCAAAAGGACAATATTCTTGCTAAAAAAAAAGCTAGAGAATCTCATTTTTTGTCTACAGTCTCATTCTTTATAGAATTTTCTTCTTCTGCTTTCAGTAAACATATTTTTCTTGATTCAAAAGAGAAAAGATATTTCTTTTCTCCTAATAAAAAAAGAAAAGAAAATATTCTTGTGGTAAGAATTTTTGCTTGGAACATAAGATTACAGGAAATAGCACCTTGTGACTAGAGTTCTTTTCTTTTTGAATGTTAGAATATTTATCTTTTGTTTTCAAAAGAATTTCCTCTTATAGAGAAACCACAGAGATACTAGAGATACTAGAGATAAAAGATCACATTAATTTTTTTTGGGCGTGTATAAATCCGTAAAAAAAATCCATCTTTACATATCCTCTACGATATTTTATCAAGACTGTCATTATCGGCAAATATTTCTTTATAACGCGATGACAGTTGGCAGAATGAAATCACGCGTGTGTGACAACGTCAAAGCGTTCATACGAAAAGCTGTAGCATCGTAATACCGATCACTCATAGTCATCACGATATTCGACGCGTCAAACGCGACTATCCGCTTCGGTGTTTTCAAGAGTCGCGAGAAAGTTGTCGGACGAAAAAGTTATCAGAGTGATATTAAGTACACTGGAATGATGTCAAGTGACATGAAAACGCAATCTCGACGGTTGAGATTTATGGTAGCGCGATTATACGATTCGGCATTGGCAATTAACGTGATTCAAGGAGGCAACGCGCGCGTCTCTATCGCGCGTTCGCTCTCGCGATTAAACGTTCTGTACGAGAACGCGACGTGCATACCGAGTACCAAGCAGCGAATAGTCGCGTCGTCATTTACACAATATGAAGCGCGTTACGTTCGCGGCGAGATGGCGAACGCGGATAGTCACATTTAAGGGCAAACGCGCGATGGGAGTACGTGCCCATTAACTTTCGCCGCGACACAGTTCCCGTAAGTTGAAAATGCCGGGGCATTAATAATTCATATGTGAGCGAAACGCGGCCGCGGGGCTTTTCCAACTCCCCATTATTTATGGCGTAATAACGGAGTGCTCTATTCTCCTACCGCGGTACCGGCCCGGGCCGTTGGTGATCTACGCGTGCGATTTAACGCGCACTCTCGTTAAATGAAACTGTAAAAAGTGAGCCCCGTGATCGAAGCTTTTTCTTACCCCATAACCCGTAACAGGTCCAATGCCATGGCCGAGGTAGGGATCGGCGTACTCGCGACCATAACTGGAAGCACATAAAAAGATTTTACTACAACAAGTTTTATTCTAATTCCGCGTCGAACTTTCTCGTTCGACGTGGAACCTTTTTCCTCGAGACTCGAAAAACAGGCCGTTCAAGCTCGACGCGGGAAAATTTCGCATCAGAGACCAATTTGAACGGCCTGGTGTGCATTAATTTATTCGTCATCCTTTCTAATCGATACGAATAAACGTACGAAACGATGGCGGTTAAATCATTAATGGGAAAGCTAATCAATAATACGCGTTAATCAGCAAGTAACAGAGATCGAATCGATTGATAACTAAAGTAATGTGGGAAAATGAATTCTACTCTCCAATAATTATCTCGATATAAGGAGAGATATTTTTATTATAAAGATTAAGGCTTCCGTTTCCTCGCCGCAGTCAGATTTCTTGCACAATACGCTGAAATGTTCACAGAAAATGACACTTGCGGTCGATTGAGCAGATGTGTAAAGTAACCTGAAGATTTTCTTTGCTCTGACAATCAACAGACCGTAAAAGTGACGTGACAGAGTCGTGAGAAAAGATAGATTAAAAAGGAAGGTTGCATGAATATTACGATTATTCATCGATTGTTTTCACACAAAAATGTTGTATCTTGCAGATTTGCTCAATTAATTACAAATATCACTTTGTGGATGTATCTTTTTTATTTCAATGTATTTTGCAAGAATTTCTAGCGTGTATTTTTTCATTTTTGACGTCATTAATTCGAAATCTCCACGGCGGGGACCAGAAGAGAGCCTTAATAAATAAAAAAAAAATATATATATATATTGATTATAAAATGTAATTATAAATTGATAATGCGTGAGATACCGACGTAAAGCGTGCTAAAGTTTCTCAGGAGATATGTCTGGATTTTCAGTGGAACTGGTGGGATTAGTCTGGACTTCGGGAATGTGTTTGCGACTCCTAAGAGCTCGTCCTCGTCGCCGGGGCTTTCTGCAAGGAACCGACTCGGTGCTGTTAAGCTGTGCGGTGAGCAATGGTACATACACACATCCTCCTTTTCTGGAGGATGGATATTTAGGGGCGAGAGAGGTTGGAGGAACTCAAACAAACACGCGAAAAGAAATGATGATCGGCGCGGGTATTTACCGGGAGGGACAGCGGGATGAAGCGCGATTCACTGCGATGCCCGATACGTGATATACACTTCGACCTCACTCTCCGTAATGGGGTCGAGCCGATGACTTCAAAACGACCGTAGGAGATCCCTGATCTATACACGTGTACTTGTGTGTATGCGCATCGGTATGAGTGACCCTGTATACTCGACCACAGCTATGACGTTCGGCAAGCCGTGGCCCTTCATATCGATAATGAAGATAATACACGTCATTGCTTGAATATAACGTCGGGAGAGAACGAGTCCGAGATGTATCGTCGTCGAAATATTTCCAAACACGTTCGAGACGCGATTGTCTGAATTAGATCGCGGCGAATCTGATTTATCGTGTTGCTCAATACACTGTCACTCGTTGTGTTGCAAGTGTCTTAGATAGATTATATATTTGAAAGCTTTTTTTTCATATCTCGGGACTACGTATCGCGCGCGTGTAAGATGCTGATTTAAAAGCACGCTGCTTTAGCGCCGGAGAGATATTTCATAGTAATGTAACGAGAGTCGCGCGCGGTGTCCTAAATATATCGCCGGCGATGCAACAAGAGCTGTGTGTAACGCGTTGTAAATAATTCATGCGGAATAAGCTGAGCGGCGCTTCAAAAGAAATCGAGGAGTATTACCGTGCGAGCAGCGCTCACGGGGAAAATTCGCAAAGTTTCCTCTCTCGAGGACGATAAAAAGGGAGTCTGTTTTGAAATTTTTCCGTTCCACGCAGCGATCATCGTTTACACGGGGGTGAGTGTCTATAGAAATAGTGTTCCACCGAATCACCTTTCCGCGAATTTATCAATTAAGCCATACTCAAAATTTTTATGTTGAAAAAATGTCGACTTTTTAATAGAGGATCTTGATAACGTTCAAATAGATAAAATTTATCTGGCTGTATGAACGCGGGAGAATTTTATCTTTTTTAAAAAGACACGAATGAAAGTAATACTCATTGCGTAAAAGATACTTTCTCATATTTATTTCATATGAATTGAATGCGGATGATACATTGACAGCCAACGTCTTAAATTCGTAGAGTCGCTCTGTAAATTTCTTGGAATGGAATTTCGCTCAAAACGAGTGAAAAGTGGCAGTACTTTGACTCGAAGCAACAGTGAAAATACTGCTACTCGAAATCGCGAGAGTGAACGTTTCACTCAAGCTCAGAGTGCATTCTGACACTATCGGAGTGAATGTTTCAATCGTTTAATATGCTGCCTTGATGATGAAGTACACAAATGTATTCGATGATTCCGAGTGAGGAATTCGCTTCAAGCGTCAGTGAAAAATCGCTCAAATTCGAGTGACTCGGCGGTCAGTCCGCTTTTCGAGTGAACTTTCGCTCCAAGAAATTTAGAGAGTCTGGTGACACCTGTAATCACTGAGAATTAATCAGACCGATGATAAGAAAAAAAGGAAATTACGCGGCGTATTGACGCGTTGACGCGGAAAATCAGCTGGGAATTTGTCGGGCGAGCCGCGCGCGGGACGAAAGGTCGGCTCGCTAGAGTCTGGGACTTCCTGCATATCGAACGGATGAGTGGGAGAGGAAGTCCTGGAAGAGAACTCGGCGTGAGGTGAGTACACAGCGGGGTTTCTCGGGCGAAAACGGTGCACTTACCCCGCTACTGCGGCATATCCTGCGACCGGTTGTGCCGCAGCTGCAGCTGCGCCGTATGCGCGCGCAGCCACCGCCGTGTAGGTCGCTGCAGCTGCGTAGCTGGCCTGCTGTGTCGTCGACAGGGGTGTCTTCAGCAATGGTGACGCTGCGGCTGCTGCTGCCGCGGCCTGAAACAACAACCATGACCCGCCATGCAAGGCTCAAGCAAGCTCGAAGACAGACAGAGAGGATCTCAGCGAGAAACGATATACTAACAACACGCTCGTTCCTAGAGGCTCTCGTGTACTCGCACACGGAAAAACCGACCCGAGCCGAGTCGATTGGCGGTTTCAAAGGCGCTCTCTCGGCACAGATAGCGACTCGGGGGAGAGCGGCGGGGAGAGGGTCGAGGATGAAAGCACATAAGCGCAAAGATACAGTGTTCTCCGAGAGAAAATGCTCTTAAGGTTTCCGTTTTATTGCGCGACTCTGGCGGTCGTTGCTGAAGCTACAAGAGAGTTTCCGGATATTCGGCAGTTAACAAGAAAGCGCTCTTTCGACGAGCTTCAATCTCGACATTCGGCTCGCGCGACTGAGATTGCGTCGCGCCGTTCATTATCTTCCCGCGCGCATCGCGACAGCGGGTTATCGAAACACCTCGTCACCGTTGTGCAACGTTGCGCCCGTTAACGCAATCTTATCGGATCGTCCCGCGATGTCTTCGGAAAGCAAGAAAATCGGTCGGTCGCACGCTAGCGCAAACTCGCCTCGCGATTTGACTTTCAAATTCGTGCGGATCGATCTGTCGCTATCTGTAATTCGCCGGCGTTTTCTGTGTGCGATTACTATTTGAAACGCATCAGCATCATCCACAACGACATCGATAAAACAGCGGGTCGCAAACGGCGAGCGATATTTTATACATATATATGTTTCGGGAGTTTGAATACATGTATATATGTACAAAAAAGGATAGGCGGGTAAAAAAAAAAAAAACACGTCGATACATATGAACGGAACAATCTTTACATCGCGCGTTTCCCCCTCGCTGTTTTAAAAATGCCAGTATATGGACGGTCAAACAATTCGAGCATATAACTAAACGTGACACTCGGCGCTCTGTAGTTTGTACAATCAGCCCCGAGGGGAATATTTTATTTACAAGGAACACACACACACACACACACGACTCGATCGAGAGAGAGATGCATGGCATCCGATGCGCTTGTGACATTAGGCGACTATACATACATATATATGTATATCAGCAGGTATACTTCAACATTCCACTTGCTCTAGCTATTATATGTATGTATATATTTTCTTTGAGTATAATTTTTCTTGTCGAGGCTCCCTCTTAGAACCGCATTAAACGATAGACAGGAGAGAAATCGCGTTCTCGACTCGCTGTTCGCGCTCGACGTTAAATGATTCAAGGGACAGCGGGATGGATAAATGAGAGTGTGTGAGAGTGTCATGCAACATGAACTTCGGTGAAAATAGCCACGGTGCAGGGGTGGAGGGAAAGACGGAGGTCGGGGAGACGGAGGTCGGGGAGACGGAGTTGTGTGACTATACAAATATACTTGAGGGAAGAGAATTAGAACAACAAGGAGAGGCGGTTGTTGGTTGTCGATCGTTCTTCTCAATCTCTTCCTGTCACAGGTGTGGCCGATGAAAATGAGACCAGGTAAAACTTCAATTTCTCCGAGTAACGTCGAGGAGATTCTCGCATGAATAATACAGGACGAATTCTTGTTTCCGGCGGGAGGGAGGATATCCGAGATAGCGCTAGGACAAACTTTTCGACGTCGAGTTTTTGCAATTAAAAACCTAAAATTAATATTCCAACGCGAAGTTTCCGCTTGATGGGAAAAACGTTAACGAGAGTCGAATTTTACGCTTGGAAAAAAATCCACTCGGAACACGGAGGGTCGGAAACGTGAATTTGAGAAACGACGTCGGCCCATCAAGTTTTCGGCAAAGAAATCAATTTAAATTGATCAGGGAATTTAACATAGAAAAAAAGAGAGAGAGACAGAAGTAGAGAAAAAGAGAGAAAGAGAGAGAGAGAGAGAG